TGCATTTTTAACCAGTTTTCCCACCCACCCAACCTTCCTTCTGGGCAGTGGTGAAATTCAATTTTTTTTACTTCCAATTTTGTGGGTGTGGCAGGGGAAGGATACTGCAAAATCCCCATCCCCACCCCACTCCTGGGGAAAGGATATTGCAAAATCTCCATTCCCACCCCACTCTGGGACCAGCCAGAGATGGTATTTGCCGATTCTCTGAACTGCTCAAAATTTCTGTTACCGGTTCTCCAGAACCTGTCAGAACCTGCTGGATTTCACCCCTGCTTCTGGGGATGTCCCAAAGGTGCTTTTTCAAAAGGCAACTGGGCTTTGTTTTTCCTTGAAGACTTTTTGCTTCTCATCCAAGAAGCTTCTTTGGATGAGAAGGCAAAACCTTCTCCCTGAATGCTCCCTCCCACCAGATATTCTGGGCCCTCCTGCCGTGGCATCTATTAACACCCCACCCCACCCCACCCCCATTTTCATCCATCCTCCCAGCACATATATTTTATACTGATGCTTCTCCTGGTGAAATACGTTTGCTGGGTTTTAGCTCATCTTCTTCCATTATCCTAGCTGGGTCCCTTCCTTCTTAGTGTTGAAACTGTGCAAAATGTCCTGCTTTCTCCACCCAGGCAGTAGACTGGAAGCAGGAGAAGGGTCAATTGTATTCAGATACCTGGAATGGACGTTGCATCAAGTAAAATAAAGAGGAAACATGTAAAACGCTTAGCTTTAAAAAAAAACCCAGGTGCCATTTTCTGCTAAATTTGGGCCTGGTAGCTCCAAATGGGTTCAGCTGAGGACACAGAAGTTGGTTCCAGTTGCCCTCTTGTGTTGCATCTTCTGCCCCTCCGGTTCCCAATGTAGGAGATAGATGGTGGGGTAAGAAAAATGTGGGGCATATCCCCACAGCCCTACTGTCATCGAAACCAGAGCAATAGAATACAGGTAGTCTTCAACTTACAACAGTTCATTTAGTGACCATTCAAAGTTTAACGACATAAATCACGAAAAGTGACTTATGACCATTTTTCACATTTACGACCTTTGCAGCATCGCCACGGTCAGGTGATCGAAATTCAGGCGGTTGGCAAATGGTTCATACTTATGGCCGTTGCTGTGTCCCAGGGTCATGTGTTCCCCTTTTGGCGACCTTCTGACAAGCAAATCAAATCTGGTGAGGCCAGATTCACTTAACAACTGGGTTACTAACTAATCAACTGCACTGATTCATTTAACAACTGTGGCAAGAAAGGTAAAATCGGGAAAAAGTCACTTCACAAATGTCTCGCTTAACAATAGAAATTTTGGGCTCAATTGTGGTCGTACGTTGAGGACTACCTGTACAGGCTTCCCTAACTTGGCCTGCCTAGAGATGTTAGGACTGCAGCTCCCAGCATTCCCAGTTGCTCTGCAGGATACCTAGATTGGGGAAAGTTCATAGGTTTCTTTGCTGGGACTCACCATACAGGTAGTCCTTGACTTAGGACCACAATTGGGACTGGAACTTCCATCGCTAAGTAATGCAGCTGGGAGTCCTCACATGATTGCCTGATTTTATGACTTTTTTTGACTGCAGTTGTGAAGTGAATCCAGCTTTCCCCATTGACTGTGGTTGTCAGACTCCAGCTGGGAAAGTCACAAATGGGTTGTATAAACAGAGGCATAGAATAAAAATCACGTGAAGTATTAGTACCGCTTTATAAAACTCTATAGTAAGACCACACCTGGAATTCTGCAACCAGTTTTGGTCCCCATACTATAAAAAAGATGTTGAGACTTTGGAAAAAGTTCAGAGAAGAGCAACTAAGATGATCAAAGGCCTGGAGAATAAAACACATGAAGAATGGCTGCAGGAATTGGGTATGGCCAGTCTAAAGAAAAGAATTAGGGGTGACATGATAGCAGTATTCCAGTATTTGAGAGGCTGCCACAAAGAAGAGGGGGGTCAAATTATTCTCCAAAGCACCAGAGGGCAGGATAAGAAACAATGGAGAACTTCAGAAGTGGTGGGGGCTCTATCCCTGGGGGTTTTTAAGAAGAAACTAGACAGTCACTTGTCTGGAATGCTATAAGGTCTGCTTGAGTAGGGGGTTGGACTAGAAGACCTCCAAGGTCCCTTCCAGCTCATTTGTTCTAATTTAAATGGCGATCACGTGACTGGGAGCTGCAATGATGGTAAATACATGGCAGACAAAATATAAATAATGTATCGAAGGAGTAATATGGATTACCCTTTGAAACTGAATGTACTGGAGTTTCTACACAGAAGCCTGAGTGGCGCAGCAGACTAATGCTACTGTTAAAGGTAGTATTTAGCTTCCAGCTGCCTGCAATTACTGCGAGTTCAATTCTCACCAGGCTCAAGGTTGACTCAGCCTTCCATCCTTCCGAGGTAGGTAAAATGAGGACCCGGATTGTGGGGGCAATAAGCTGACTTTGTATAAAAAAAAGAACACCACTTAGAGGGGGCTGAAAGCCCTACTAAGCAGGTATATACAAAAGTATGAAGGCTATTGTTTAACGCATTGTAAGCCGCCCTGAGTCTCCGGAGAAGGGCGGCATATAAATAAAAAAAATTTTTTTTAAAAAAAGCTACAAATGGATAAAGATGGCAAAAATTTTGAGAAAAGAGACAAAGAAGAAAACAGGAAATTAGAATTTTATCTGTGGGACTGAATGATGGCCAGGAGGAAGAAGGAAAAAAAAGTACATAGTTGGTTTATTTGATTATGGATAAATAACAATTTTCTATCTCTTGTGATGCTTATCTTGACTGGATAGCATTTTTTTAAAATGTTTCACCGGGTGAAATGGCTTATCTTGCAATATCTATGTTATTTTTTATATGTAAATAAGGGTTACTTATTTACTTATTTACTTAATTCTGGTAATGTTTAACAGTGTTTAATTTTTTAGAATGCTTAATTATTAATTGGGATTAGGTTTTTATTATTAAAGTGAGGGATGAGCAGGATTTAGATTAAATGGAAACGGAGATTATGTATTTATGTTGCTAGGTGTCTCTTAATTTTTACTGGACCTTTGCTGATGTATAAGGAGAGTTGAAGATTTAGAAATAAGTTTAGAGGAAATGGGGTGAAGTATGGAATGAAGATGCATTTGGTTGTATTTTAAGAGACAGTGATCAGTTCTTAATGTTGAATATACTTGCTGGGGATGAAGGAGAAATTTTCTTTTTCTTACTACTTCCTTGGAACATTTTTTTTTCCTACACTTTTTCCTTTTTCTTTTTTATGTATTTTTGTATTAATTTCTCATATTTGACCTGTTTAATATATTTCTTAATAAAATTAGTAGGGGAAAAAAGTAAATACATAACCACTTGCCAAGTGCCTAAATCGCGATTACATGACCATGGGAATCCTCGCGAGCTCTGTTTTTGCTGGCGGAGGGTTGCAGGAGGACGTTGTAAGCAATGATGGAACTCGGGAGCCCATTTTTGCTGGCAGAGGGCTCGGGCCACCACAGGCGCCCCCGACACAAGTGATGTCGAGCTGGCCATGCCCACCCTAGCCATGCCCCGCCAGCCCCCCCCCCCCAGGTCAAACACAACCCTGATGCAGCCCTCAGTGAAATTGAGTTTAACACTCCTGGTTAAGAGAAACCATTTTTCCTGAATCCGCCCTTCCCACTCTCTTGGAGTGGGGTGGGGGCGTATGTTCAGCTATGGATTTGGGCTGGGTTCCATTGTGCATCATTACCTGGGCAAACTTTTACTTAAGAGAGAAAGCCTCCAGCAAATTGAGAAGAAAGAGCCCATGAAGCCGATGGTCAGCATACCAGCCATTCATCATTTCTGACATTGCTGAGCTGGGAATATTGAATGGGAAGGGTCAACCATTGCAAGAAAAATAAAGATGTGTTAGGTTCCTGCCTTTCCGTGTATCCCAGAAATCTTTTTAAGTAGGCTTTGTGACCTCACAGCCTTTTTATTAACTTAGTTTGGACTTTTTAGATTTTTTTTTTTAGTAAAACTCCCCTTGGCCTGGGGTAGACTATAAATTCTAGTGAATAAATAAAGGGGCGTCCAATAGCATACTAGAAAACTGTGGGGACGTGTTGATCTGTGCAAAAGGTTGGATGGATTATTGGCAGCTAGCAGGGACTTCACCTACGGAAGGACACCTTCAGGTCTCTTGGTCCATCCGTGGCTCTCCTGCCCACGAAACTGACTTTCTGAGCAGGTTACCAAAAGCCCAGATTGCTGGAGTGATTTGATTCGTCCATAGAAGATAGAATAGAGTTGGAAGGGACTTGGAGGAGACCCCTATACGATTTTAGTTCAAATCGCGGCTTGAGTCTTGCAGGCACCCATCAAGGCCATTGGGAATAGGGGAATTGCCCCAAAGACATGCATTTCTCGAACCTAAAGTAGGGATACGGAAAGTAGCTTTGGGGTTTGAGAGCGTGCAGTAAACTCTCAAAAGTGGAGCATCAACTAGTATTCACCAAGTACAGGCAGATAGTTCAGCTACATAATTAAAGTTTTCTTAAAAAAAAAAAAAGAGGGGATTATGAGCAGACCCTGGCAGTAATCCAAAATTCTAATTTCTGACTATGATTTAATTTCAATTTTAAATAAATCGGTTTTTAATTTAAAAAGAGTGAGCTTCATAACATTAGCAATGATTGCAACATTAAGCGCAGTGCTCACAATCTAGCAATATAAAACATTATTTATATCTGAATCGTAAACAGCCTTTTGAAATGGATTATGCTTTTTCTCCCTATTCTAATACAACCTGGAGGGTACTAAAAAGTGTTGTGTGAAATTAACATTCTGCTGACTTTCGCCTATAAATGAGAAGCGAGCTATTAACATTTGTGTATTTTCATTATGTAAATTGTGTTAACACATGCCCACAAATTGCCACCAGCGATACAATAATTTTCTCTCAGTGATCATAATGTGTCCAAGTGAGTCATTTTGATTATGACATGCTAATTACATATTGCCTCCCCTTTTTTTCCCCCCTTTTCAGATTCAGAAAAACCAGGGATCTTTAATGGTAAGCTTTATGAGTTTGGGAAAAAAATTCACTTTTCTTTTTCCTGATGGCTGCTTCTTCGCATGCTTGAATGCCTTGTTTTAAACTTAGCAAATTGCATTTTGCGGAAAAAGCAAACCTTTAACTGCCTGTATTAGATTAGGTACCATTAGAAATAATAGGACATCCTGAGCCACGATGTTTTTATAAGAGTTTGCTGCTGTTGATTAATCTTGCTATATTTTATTGCATTAATGATTTTTTTTCCTTTTCCACTCCATGTAAAGATATTGCATATAGCCTAATACTTCTCTCCCCTGTTCCCCCCCCCTTTCCATCACAGCCTCTCCAGTTACTCCAGTGCATTGTTGATGAGGTGAGTCGCTGTCTTATGTGCTTTCACTCCTAAAGTCATCCCTAATGGACTGGAAAGCTTATATTTTGTTTCCTAATGAAGCACAATGGCCCAACGTCCTCAACAGCGAGACAAGTTGCCTTGTGCAGCTCTGAGCCGTCGACTCTGCTTGGCCTTGTTCTGCTTTATGCCGTTTCCTGAGTCTTCCTCTTGAATTCTGGGGGAAATGAGGCTGTTTTCAGGAAAATCTCTCCCTCTCTCTCTTTTTCTTCCCCCTCCTTGGAAAGGAAAAGGGAGACCGTAGAAGCCAGCCCTGCATTAATTGATCACCTCTCCGCCTTGCCAGATGAGGTAATGCAAAGCAAGGCAAGCTGTGATTTGGCTTCTGAAGGAGGCTGGCTTGAGGTGCACTGAAAAAAGGGAGCCACATTAACGGGGGTCAGAGTTGAGTGGTAAACAAGAACAGATTGGAAGGAGGCGTCTTGTGGGAGAAAGTGGTTGTTGACGTGTCTCTTCTGCAAAATCTGGACCTTTCATAATCATTTCATCCCAGTCTGGAGGTTTCCTGCAGGAGCTCCTCCCTATCCAAGCTTCAAGATGCTGGTGTCTCCTTCAGCACACGGGCAAATGCCCACCTGCTGCCCTGGGTGACCGGATTGGGACAACTCACCGCTGCCAATTCCCCATGGTCACCTGGCCGCAGGACAACTCAGCACGAGACAATTCAACAAGCACAAAAGTTAAATTAATTTTGACAGAACCCTGACCAAAAACAATAAAATAAAGTCAATCCGGACATACAAGAGTTACAATAATTTCGGCAAAAACGTGGTCACCGATAATAAAAGTACCTGAATGAAATGATTAATACAGCGTTGAATTGTCCTGTCGCCAGTTGTCCTGTGGGAAGTTGGGTGTGGTGAATTGGCCGCAGCGAGTTGTCTTAGACCCCTGGGTGAGAAGGGGCAGCAGCAGCCCCTGCATTTCAGAGGACACTACGCAGCAAAGGGACTGGATGTGCCCCTTTCAAGGTACATAGGATGGCAGAAGGGCCTTCTTTCCTTGAACTCAGCGAACCCGTTGATTTCTGCTTTAGCTTGGGGGAGGTTACTGCAGATCATCCCTCAGTGGTCTCCGTTCTTCTCCAGATAGACCGTGTTGCTCCAAGCCTTCTGTGCTGGGGAAAGCAAGGGAATCAAACAGGACAGGCTGGAGCTCCTTTCAGTCCCCACCAGGTCTTTACTGGAGAAGGAAAAACGCGGGTGGGTCGGTTGGTGGGAGGATGCAGCTTAGGAACCGGGGAAAACCAGTGAATGGAATCTGGAAGAAACCGTGAGAATTGTGGCCAGCTGCAGGAACAGGTTATTGAAGCCACCGGAGGCAAGAGGGGGGATCCAGAGGAAAAAATAATCACTCAGGTGAGAGGCTTTTGTTTGTTGCGAGTGCAAGGTGAACAAAGGAGGGGCGGGGCATATCTTGAGCAGTTACTCCTGAATAAGACTGAGGACCCTACTCAGAGGAGTTGGGTTGTATTTTGAGACAAAGACCAGGTCTCGGATCTGGACAGGTCTGTCCAAATTCTTGAACCACTTGCAGTCTTCTAACAGGATCCATTGTTCTGCTGAAACGTCTGCTGAAATGTCTTTTTTTATCTGTATTTTTACTGTATTTTTATTTTTATCTGTATTTTTATCTATATCTGTATTTCATTTTATCAGATTTCTGCATGGCCACTGCTGAAGTTCTACTGCCTTCACATCCCTTTCATTCTCTCTTTGATTGCTTGTCAGACTGGCACATTCTTGTATCTATCTATCTATCTATCTATCTATCTATCTATCTATCTATCTATCTATTCTATCTATCTATATCTATCTATCTATCTATCTATCTATCTATCTATCTATCTATCTATATACACACACACCATATATATATATATATATATATACCATATATATATACACATATACATATACCATATATATATGGTTTCTCCCTGTATAACATTTCCTTCAGGAATGTAATAAAGGAACCTTTATAAGATTGTTTGTTTTGGAGACTTGCACAATTCTAGAGACTCCTGAATGCTGTGAAAGAGTTTCAGTTGATAAACTTCGCTATTTAAAACATTCTGATCTGACCCTGATATGATTCTGAATCCAATAGATCCTGGAGTTCATGCAAACTGTGAGGATAGGTTCACTTGTTATGATTTGAAGACATAGACAAGACACCTTTAAGGATTTGGTCAATTATTGTCCCCTTGACCCTTTCTCATCATAGATAGCAGTCTTTAGCAGGCAAGAACTGATTGGGTGAGTCCAAGATATAGTTAATATTTCTTACCCTACTAATATTCCCTCCAGTTTCTATGTGTGTCCTACCTCAGAATAATGGGCCAGAATAGAATAGAGCTGGAAGAGACCTTGGAGGTCTTCTAGTCCAGCCCCCTGCTCAAGCAGGAGAACTTATACTATTTCAGATAAGTGACTGTCTAGTCTCTTCTTAAAAACCTCCAGCGATGAAGCACCCACAATATCTGAAGGCAACTTCTGTCCACTGGTTAATTGTCCTCACTCTTAGGAAGTTTCTTCTTAATTCCAGGTTGCTTTTGTCTTTGATTACTTTATTAATTTATTGGGGCAATTACTTCCTGTGATCTGGACTCAATGCTCCCCCAGTTAACATTTACCTTTTTAAGAGTTTCATCACGCTATTGACTTAAGTTCCATTTGCAACCTACTAAAACATCCAAATTGTTTTCACGTGTACTATTGCCAAATTAAGATTTCCTGTGCTTGTGTCATTCATTTTTCTTGCATAAGCAGAAGATTTAAAATATTTCTTGCCATTGAAATTTATCCTCCTGCTCAAACTTATCAAGTCTTTTAAAATCTTATTTCGTTTTCATCTAAAATATTAGACACCCCAAACTATTATTTATGGACTAAGCAATCATCCTGCTAATTAGGAGTTCATTTTATAATACCATCTAGCTTACATTTCACCATTATATTAATAATCAGGAGAGCCACCTGGATGTGCTGGTTAGAAACCAGTTCTAGTGCTGCCTTAGGCACAAAGCCAAGTAGCTGACTTTGGCCAGCCCCCCTCTCTCTCAGCCCCGTGACCACACCCAGTTTTACAATATTTTTTGCAGCGGTTGTTAAGCAAATGTCATTAAACAAATCCATTTTCCCAATTGGCAATTATTCCCGGAAACTGGAAGTAAATGGCAGAAACCAGCTAAAGACGCTGAAAATCATGGTTATGCAACCGTGAGACACTGCAAATGGTTCTAAATCTGCGTCATTGCCAAGTACCGAAAATGCAAACATATGACCCAGAGGGGGGGATGTGCCCATCTGAACATCAAAAAGTAGTTCTGGGGAGATCCATTGTAACTTGAAACAATCACTAAGCAACTGGTTGTTAAGCGAAAACTGCCTCTCTTTGTTTAGTCTTGGGAAATAAAACAGTTGGCGTATGATAGGATTGCGTTCTTCAGATATCTGTAAAGGGGAATATTTGTATCTCAGGATTGAATTGGTGGGTCCTTGGTGCTCTCTGAGCTCAGAGATTTTTCTTGCAGACGTTTCTTTACCCAACTAGCAGTGGTGGGTTCCTCCCTGTTCGGCCCGGTTCTCCCGAGCCGGTAGCGGTGACAATATGATGTCACCGAACCGGTTCTGCCCCCCAAACCCCGCGTTATTCTTCCCTTTTATTTGGTCCCACCCCCAATCTATTGCTGCCTCCTGAGTCCCAGCTGATGGCTAGAGGGAAAAAACCTGTTTAAACTCTTGCCAAGGGGCTTCAAAAGGCCGCCCTACAGCTGATCAGTGTTAAAAGAAAACAAATGAGTAGACCAGTGCCTGCAAAAATAAATGGGTAGATTGGTACAGCTCTGCGAGCAGTTAAAAGCCTGGTAGACCAGTACCTCTGCTAAATCCTAAATAATTGTCACATGACCATCAAGCCACGCCCACAAAATAAGCCACACCCACAGAACCGGTAGTAAAAAAAATTAGAACCCACCCCTGCCAACTAGGTAACATCATCAGTGCTAGTCAGTAGTACTCAGGGAGCACCAAGGACCCCTGACTTCAGATATCTATCCCGGCAATGAGTCTGTTTCCCCTCCCCACTCAAAGGTAGCAAAACAGGTGCTCTCTTTGCTCACTTTCAGAGATACAGGTTAGGTTTTGTCCTCTTTGGCTTTTACCTGTCTGTAAGATGGTGCAGCTTGGAAAGGCAGCCCTGCTGTTGATGCAATTCATTGTCTGCCATCTCCATTAGGATTTTGCTTTTTGTTTACCTGCAAAAAGTCTCAGTTTCAGTTGAAAGGGAAGTTATAAATATTTTAATAAATTTAAAAAGGTGGTTTGCTGCTGATTTGCTTTACAACAGGGGCCCAAACCAAAGTGTCTCCCCGAAGCTGCTAAAATCCAGTGCTCTACACAGAAGACTGCAGGGTAGATGGCCTACTTGTGGTTAGCTGCTGCACTTGAATTCCAGAACTTTTCTGTTAAGCCAGAGCTTGTCCTGCTCACAAGGCTTCCCATGAAATATGTGGTGCGCCTGGTTTCTGTAGTCTGCAATTTTTGCTCTGGAAATCCATTCAAAGACTTTTGGCAGAGGAGAAATGATATTTTTCAAATGTAACCAACCAGAACAAATACTTTTTTAAAAAAAAATTGATTTATATGCCGCCCTTCTCCGGAGACTCAGGGCAGCTTACAATGCGTTAAGCCTTCAAACTTTTGTATATTTATACAAAATCAGCTTATTGTCCCCACAATCCGGGTCCTCATTTTACCTACCTTAGAAAGGATGGAAGGCTGAGTCAACCTTGAGCCTGGTGGGATTTGAACTTGAAGTAATTGCAGGCAGCTGATGTTAATAACAGTGCTTTAGTCTGCAGCGCCACCAGGGCTCTTACTGTCCCAAAGGTGCTTTTTCAAAAGGCCACTGGACTTTGCTTTTCCTTGAAGACGTTTCCCTTCTCATTCAAGAAGCTT